TGTCGCTTGACTGACGGTGCAGTTGCGGAAGCGTTACACTGCAGCCTGCGACTGAGCGATCACCGGTGGCAGCGGCAATTCCGGGAAGAGTTTCGCGACGTCGCTCCAGATGACCTCGGGCTTGTCGATGCGATCGACGGTGTAGTCCACGTGGCGCTGACTCGGCAGAAATTCGAACTCGCACGGAACGCCCGAGTCCACATACCCGTTAGTAAACGCCATGGAAACATCCATGTTCGTCTTAAACGGTTTCGACGCGCGCGGGTCGTTGGCGTGGGTGGTGCGGCTTAGCGGAACCGAGACGTCGCAGTTTAACGAGAGCATGGTGTAGCCCAGGCACGACGCGCTCACGGACACGGGCTGGTCGAGGAAACCACCCACGGTTACCATGGGTACTTTGTAGCGTTTACCCAGCATGTGCGTGAGGATGGCGCAGGTGGAGAAGCAGTCCCCGTCCGCGAGAAACAGAAACGGCCGCGCGCCGAAAAACGGCTCCGACAACCCGGGTTGCTCCGCGAAGGGGCCGTAGAAATAATCAAAATTCTGTTTAAAATCCGCGGTATAGGTGCCTCTGCGGCCGGCGATGGAGAAGGAGACGTTTTGCAGAGGAGTGTAGTCGCGAGCAGACGAGAGGAGCGACGCGCCGTCGCTGGGATGCGTGTACGCGTTCGTGACGTACTTGGGAATGGCCTGATCTTCCACGAGGCTCCAGGTGAAGTTTGTGCCTATAATGAAATCCATGGGTAGGGTTGCGTCCGCTAGAGGCACGTTGCGCGTGCCGAGAAGCGCGACGACTGTGACTGAGGCCAGCGCAGCGTACCCGCCGCCGTTATCGCGCACGTCGAATATGACCTCCGTGCAGTTGATGCTGCGCGCGGGGGGAGGCGCGGGGTGCGGGGGAGAGGTGTTTGGGGGAAGTTGGGAGAGGAAAGTCCAAAATGCTGAGAGAGAGAAAAAGGTTTTCAGTAAGGGAGAATTGGTATGCAAGCAGGGAGGGCAAGCAGGGAGGGCAAGCAGGGAGGGCAAGCAGGGAGGGCAAGCAGGGAGGGCAAGCAGGGAGGACTAGCAGGGGGGGCAAGCAGGTAGGGCGCGCGTACCTCCTGGCGGTATCCATGGCTCTGAGAATCTCCTCAGCGAGGTAGTCGATGGGATGCAGCAGGCCAGGCCTGCTGACTGCGAGCTCCGCCTCCGTAGTGGGGTCCACGCCGAATGTGTGCAGCACTATCACTGCCGTGCGGTTGTCCACCAGATACACCTGAGAGGGGCGCAGAGGGGTGCAGAGAGGTGCAGAGGGGTGCCCAGGGATGCAGAGGGGTGCAGAGGGGTCCAGAGGGTTGCAAGCCAGGGCTGGTGACGGTCAGCTTACTCGCCGTGGTGCAGCAGATCACAGCTGTGCAGTTGCTCAACAAATACTCGTGAGAGTGGTGCAGTGCGGTTAAGGGGGGTTGAGGGGACGGCCAGGGGAGAGAGAGGAGAGCTGGGAGCGTTTCAGCACGAACACTGACATCTGCATGCAGTCACACGCGCACACAGTCACACCCGCACACAGTCACACCCGCACACAGTCACACGCGCATACAGTCACACGCGCATACAGTCACACCCGCATACAGTCACACGCGCATACCAGGTAGTAGGCATCGTCAGCAGACACCTTTTCCATTGTGATGGCTGCCCCCTCCTCTCCAGCCAGTATCCTGGGTGCAACCTTGTCGCTGCTGTGCGCATCGTTGCTTGACGACCCTGCTTCCTCCTTGCCTTCCTGCTTCTCCTGTGGCTGCTGCTGCTGGCGCCTGTGGGGCCGCTGATGTTGCTGGTACTGGGGTCGCCTCCTCAGCACGTCACGCTGAAACACAGGACACGGCGCCTGCTTCTCCTCGCTGCCGCTACCACTGCCACTGCTGCCGCTGCTGGTGCTGCTTGCTGCGTTGCCAGCAGCAGCGTCGCCTGCACAGGGCTCGTTGTGCTTGGCACAGTTGAGGGTCCAGTAGGAGCGCGAGTCGTTGAAGGGCTGTGGGTTCGAGACAGCCATCCATGGCACACTCACGTTCTCTGCTGCTCCCCTGTTGCTTCCAACCAAGGAAATCACCCGGGCAAAACAAAAACAAAATGACAAACAGAAAATGTCAACAGAACAACAGGGCATGAGAATTCAGTGGTACCAACCAACCAAGGTTAATGGTTACCGGGTTTAAAACAGGGAACATTCTTGCAGTTTTGTGTGCATAAGGCTCACCCTCTGAAAGCGGACACCTGCAGCGTGTCTCTCTCTGGAACCAGCTCTCTCAGAACAAACTCCCCAGGTGCTGCCACAAGCTGCCCTCCCCATTGGCTGGAGGGACTTACCCACAACACAAGCCACAAGGCTTTCACTCACCCTCTGAAAATGGACACCTGCAGCGAGTCGCTCTCTGGAACCAACTCCCGCACAACAAACTCCCCCGCGTGGTGCCCCAAGCTGGCTTTTCCCTCCGGGTCGAGCCCCGCGAACATCATGTTGAAGCGCGCACTGGGGTTGCGCACCATGCCGCCGTGCTTGTCCGCCCACTGCTTTATGTACTCCACTGCCGGCTGGCCCTCAATTGCGAGCACCTGAACGAGGGGAAGAGGGAGGGCGGTGAGAGGGAGGGAGTTGCGCGCACCATGCCGCCATGGCGCCAAGCCGCCAAGCCTGTCCACATTGCCGGCTGCTGGTGAGAACCTGCAGCAGGGAACAGGGAGGGCTAGAGAGAGGGGAAGTTGCAGCTCGATGGTCTATACTCCCGGTTGAAGTGGCAGCGAAAGATTGATGGGGAATGCCCCATGTTAGAAATCCAGTGGTAGGCATTCCCAGTCTCGGAGGATTTTGCACATGCGCTTGCTAATTCTATCATAGACACTGCCCGATATTGCAAACCATGTGTATTGTGGATTTTCTGCTATTTAATGCACCCCTTTAGCGACAATAGCGTACCTGCTGTAACTCGTAGGCGGAAAAATCGAAACCCCAGAGCTTCTTCGCGTCCTCGTCGATCCCCTTGAACCGCTCCAGGTCTGAAGGGTACGGCGCGATGAAACACGGCCACAGACAGCGTTACTTATACACTTTGAAACGAAGCGTAATTGGAAAACGAGTTCGTGTGAGCGCAAATGTCGTACGGTGCGTGTGTGAGATACTTTAGCATCGCGCGGCAGAGAGACTCACATCGGAGCGTGGCGACGCGAATGATCTGCTGACCGTCCTCCACGACCGCGAAAAGCGGGAGCGGCAGGACGAAGGTAGCCATGCTGAAGAAACAGTTGGACCAGAACATCGTGTGGCCGTCGTTCAGGCCGTTGAGCGCGTTGAACGTGTCCACGTGGGCGTCCATCAGCCGTTCGTATTCGCCCCGCTCGGCGCGCTGCAGAATGGCCGTCAGCTCCGCGACGATGTCGACGCTGCTGGGAAGGTTCGTCTGGTCGGGCGAGTCAACGGCAGTGTCCTTGTAGACGTAGTGGTTGTTGACTCCGTTGACTACGGACCGAAGATCTTCCACGTCACTCTCCCTGCTCAAAGTCAAAGGATTTTTTAATTCTTATTAAAAACGCTTGTTCAAATGGAGCTGGTTTTGTTTTTCCAGAAGGTCAATGCCACTGTATTTGCAATATCAAATTCCTGTTTAGTAGATGCGCTCGTTACCTGATTTTGAAATTGCGCAAGCATTCGTGAACTGTAGAGGGTTTCGCAACGTTCCAGATCCCTGCATTCGTGGCGATTTCCTGACTCCACAGCGTGCACGGGTCCGCTGCACCACTCTGCATCACGCTCGCTGCCTCTGGACCGCTCGTTCCCGATTCAGAGGCAGTAGGAGCTGAAGCTCCCACTAGAGAAGCTTCGCTATCAGCACTGGCATGGGCTGCTGCGGGATTGCTTAGCACTCGAAGGGCGAAGGCAGGTTGGAAATGAATGAAGGACAGAATGACAGTGAGCAGGCCTACCACCCGCGCGATACGTGCATTTGAATCCATGGCTCGAATAGCAAGGGACGTTCTACCAGGTAGGAGGAGCTTATGATGCTCGTTGGTGAAGGTGATTTGGCGAGTGAATCAGCTTCGCTCTCGCCTTTGTGCCTCCACAATAGAACTGCTGCTGCTTGCTATGTCGCGCTTGTTTTGCTCACACATTCCACGATTATTGTTAGCGGGTTTGCTCCAGGAGATTATTGCTGGCAGCAATACAGCCGACTTTTAAGTTACGCGCTCCGACGCTGAATACAAGCCGCGCACCTCAAGGTGGTCGCCTTTTGGAAAGAGTTACAAACGAAATTACATCGTTTCGCGGACCTCCTTGAGAAACACTTTTACGACTGTTGCGAAGGTACCGTGGTCTCGTCACATAGGGTTACAGCTCGTGAGTAATCTTGGCTCTCACTGGGTCGTAGCAGTGTGATAATTGTTTCGGGCATGTCGAGGAAGCCGATATAGTCAGCTAGTTTTAGCGAACGAGCAAGTTAACGATGGAAATGCACCATATTCGACTCTCTAAATTGGTACAGCTTAGGAAGAAAAAACCTACAAAATGTGCTACTTGATATATTCCAATCCAGCCTTGAATTGGGCAAAAAAATCTCCGAAGAGCAAGCACATTCTTCGTAAAAAATGCTATCTGGAAATTAGGCCTCTTTGTGTTGTAGCTATAAGAAACAAAATGCATGATAACTCTGGAGTTCATTCACATAGAAGAGACCTAATCTGCAACCTTGAAAGTGCAGAGGTTTGGTTCGTAAATTTATCACCACGATCAGCTACTCCCCAACAGACATGCCAAACCCAAATTTATAATCCTTTTTCCAGTGATCCACCTGGAAAGGCAAAACGAGATTGTTGGGTTCAGATACAAAACACCAAAACGGGAATGGGAAGACATGCGAGGCGCACTAGAGGAAGCGATGCAGGCTCAGAGACGCACGCAGACGCAAATATCAGACATCAACACTCACTAACGACATACCTCTGCAGAGAAAAGAAGATTAACACCAAGATTAAGCCTCTCTTCCAGATAGGCTGCTACACACCCATTGGTGTCCAGTCGCCCCCGCAGCCGACACTGGTTGGTGGAAACACAAGGGAGGATGGGGAAGAGGGGAAGGAGGATCGGAGGAAAAGAAAATACTGAAAACGATTGTGAGCACCACACTGGGTGTCACGCCCATCGGTGTCCAGTCGCCCCCGCAGCCGACACTGGTTGGTGGAAACACAAAGGGGGGGAGGGGGGAGAGGGGAAGGAGGATAGGAGGAAAAGAAAACACTGAGAACGATTGTGAGCACCACACGGGGTTTCGCACACCCATTGGTGTCCATTCGCACCCGCAGCCGACACTGGTTGATGGAAACACAAGGGAGGACGGGGGAGGAGAATGAGAGGATCGGGGGAAGAGAGACTAGTGGGAATGATTGTGAGCGTCACACAGGATGGGGGATGGCACACAGCCATTGGTGTCCGGCCGGCACTGGTTGGTGGAAACACAAGGGAGGGGGGGGGGGAGGAATGAGAATATTGGAGGAAAAGAAACAATGGCTGTGAGCGTTACACAGGATGGCACACAGCCATTGGTGTCCAACCGGCACTGGTTGGTGGAAACACGAAGGGCGGGGGAAGGGGAAAGCCGAACTGCCCTCAATACAGTCACATACATTACGGCGGACTTATCCAAACCCAACCACCTTGATCCTGTCACCTTGGTAACAGTGACTGTGACTGTGACTGCCACCCATTACAATCACCTCTTCCCAACGCCACACACACACCCGCCGCACAATGTAATTGCTGCACACCACCCTGTACACTCTCATTCGCTGCTCACAACGGGTACACACACCACACCACACCTGCTGCAAGGTGTAGTCAGCACGCACCTTGCTGTACACTCACCACTCATTACAGCCACGCACACAGCTCCCTGTACACTCACTTCTGAATACAGCCACACGCACACACACACACACGCACACACACCTGGGCAGGATACAATCGTATCCCACAGCCCCCTGTACACACCTGGCGCAGGATATAGTCGTATCCCACACTCGTGGCCGACTCCTTGCTGTTCCAGTTGTGCAGGAAGTCGGCTGCTAGGGCCACCTGGTGAGGATGAGCATGGGCAATGCGGGGCAATGAGGTTGGATGGATAGGGATGGAGGAAGCTGACTGTTGGGTAGACCCAAATGAACACTCGTGGCCGACTCCTTGCTGTTCCAGTTGTGCAGAAAGTCGGCTGCTCGGTCCATCTGGTGAGGATGAGCATGGGCAATGCGGGGCAATGAGGTTGGATGGATAGGGATGGAGGAAGCTGACTGTTGGGTAGACCCAAATGAACACTCGTGGCCGACTCCTTGCTGTTCCAGTTGTGCAGAAAGTCGGCTGCTCGGTCCATCTGGTGAGGATGAGCATGGGCAATGCGGGGCAATGAGGTTGGATGGATAGGGATGGAGGAAGCTGACTGTTGGGTAGACCCAAATGAACACTCGTGGCCGACTCCTTGCTGTTCCAGTTGTGCAGAAAGTCGGCTGCTCGGTCCATCTGGTGAGGATGAGCATGGGCAATGCGGGGCAATGAGGTTGGATGGATAGGGATGGAGGAAGCTGACTGTTGGGTAGACCCAAATGAACACTCGTGGCCGACTCCTTGCTGTTCCAGTTGTGCAGAAAGTCGGCTGCTCGGTCCATCTGGTGAGGATGAGCACGGGCAACGAGGAGGAAAGGGCAATGGGGATGGATGAGGGATAGATGAAGGAGCACGCAAGGTGCAGAGCTGACTTATGGACACGACTCCAAGGTGCTTCTTAAGTTGACACATATGTCACCCAAGTCATACACCTTATCCAACTGAAACACCTTATCCGTCTCGTATCTTATCTGACAAGTGTTGCACGTAGCTCATGGACACCACTCCTACCAATACCGTATCTGACCATATCTTATACCAACACATGCCTTAATAATCTCATACCTGATTGGAGCCATACCTTATCTGACACGCGTTGCACGTAGGTCATGGACACCACTCCTGTGCTCGCCACCTGTGCTGTCGCCACCTGGAGCAAGTGAGATGGATGCGGGATGGCATGGATTGGAGCAATGCGGGATGTGCGTGATTTGGAGCACGCGTTGCACGTAGGTCATGGATACCACTCCTGCGCTCGCCACGTGCAGTCGCCGCCTGAAGAGCAAGCGGGATGGCATGGATTGGAGCGACGCGGAATGGGCATGATTTTTCCAGGAGAAAGAAGAGGAGGAAGAGCACACGGCCTGCAGCGCACCTTTTAAGAATTCTCATAAATATACCAGCAAGAGCAGCTCACCACTTTATCGGTGTTGTATCGACCAGCAATGCCCAGCCCAGAGCGCCGCTGGTGGCCCAGCCAGAAGGCCTCTCCGCCCAGAGAGAGTGTGGGCGTGACGCTCTGAATGTAGTTCACTCCGTAGAAAGCGTTGTTGCCCGCCTGTGCCTGCCACTGGTAGTCCGACCCCTGCAGTCATGGAAGGGTAACGGATGTGGGAGACAGTGCTTTGTGTGACGCTCTGGATGTAGTTCACTCCGTAGAAAGCGTTGTTGCCTGCTTGCGCCTGCCACTGGTAGTCCGATCCCTGCAGTCATGGAGGGATGAAGGGCGTTGAATGAGGAGAGAACGTTTGAAAGCATGCTGTGAATGTGGTTCACTGCGTGGAAGGCGTTGTTTCCCGCCTGCACTGCACCTCCCGCTGATCTGGTAGTCTGATCGCTGCAGTGATGGAGAGAAATTCAGGCACCAGAATACTCGTTATGAGGGCATTCAGCAAACAAATGAGGGAAATCCAGACACCAGAATGGGGAACAATCGTTATGAGTAGCATTGACACCACAAATAGCGTTGATAATCATTATGAGTCCATTCAGCGAACGCTCTGGATGGAAATCACTCGGTGGACTGCACCGTTTTGAGACTACTCAAAACACTGCTTTTATCATGTTGCCCACATGCACGTGCGGCTCGTAGTAGTAACTTGCTACTACTTGCCACTGGTAGTCCAATCTCTCTTTGCAGTGATAGAGGGAAAGGAAGCGCATTGAGACATGCCAAGTGTTGACACTCGCACTCTATAGGCTCACATACACGCGCGTACACACACAAACGTAAGCGCACGCACACACGCATGCACGCACACACAGGCAAGACACACACCCACCCACACACTCACACGCACGCACCTTGTAGTCGAGTTGGAACATGCCCTGCGAGAAGTGCGGCTCGTTCACAATCTGCGCGTTGACCTTCAATGCCACGCTGTCAGTCACCTGGTAGCTCACCTGCTTCCCATGCCCTCTCTCTCTCTTACACGCACGCACCTTGTAGTCAAGCTGGAACATGCCCTGCGAGAAGTGAGGCTCGTTCACAATCTGTGCGCACTCACCTGCTTCCCATGTGCTCTCTCTCCCCTCTCTCTCCCCCTCACGCACGCACCTTGTAGTCGAGTTGGAACATGCCCTGGGAAAAGTGAGGCTCGTTCACGATCCGCGCACACTCAGCTACTTCCCGTGCTCTCTCTCTCGCGCACACACTCACGCTCACTCTCACTCTCACGCACACGCACCTTGTAGTCGAGTTGGAACATGCCCTGGGAGAAATGTGGCTCGTTGACGATTTGCGCATTCACCTTCAGTGCCAGGCTGTCCGTCACCTGGTAGCTCACCCTCGCACTCAACCTCCCGTCCGCCATCCGGCCAATCAGCATCTTCTGCTCTCGGAAGAGGGGGGGGGTTGGTGGGGCGCGGAGGGGGGGGAAGGAGAGGCAACGGGGAAAGAGTCAGGGAAAGGACGGACAAGCCTGCCCACCGGGTGCAATCTGGTAGCTCACCCGCGCACTCAGCCTGCCGCCCGCCATCCAGCCAATCAGCATCTTCTGTTCCGGCAGTGACGTGGCACAGCACAGGGGAAGCGGGGAGGAGAGAGAGACAAAGGGGAAAACGTCGGGGAAAGGACGGACAAGTTGGATGCAATCTGGTAGCTTGCCCGCGCACTCAGCCTTACCGCACGCCATCCGACCAATCAGCATCTTAGGCTTGCGGATGGCTGAGGGTGCAGGGAATGAAGGGGAGGGGGTGGGGTCCTAAAACCTTTCCTCATGAAGGCGATGAGGAAAGGTCCCAGGAAAGGGCATGCACGCAAGGGGGAATGGAGTGTGATGTTACTATCTTTGAATTTGAAATGTAATGTTATCTTTGAATCTGGAATGTGACATTATCTTTGGATTTGGAATGTGATATTATACGAAGATTCGATGAATGACGAAGGCAATTCAAAATTTCAGTTGTGGTGCGGAATAGCAAGCAGGAGAAAGGAGGGGGAGGGGGAGGGGCAGCCGCATGGATCATGGAGGTACGAGCGACCTCCATGACTAAGCCAATGCGGCGCTCAGCAACCCCATTCTGTTGCGGAGAGGCCGGAAGCGTGAACGTCTGGCGGATGCCGTGCTCCGCACAGAAGGCTGCCAAGAGGTCTGAGGAGAACTCACCACCTCTGTCAGAGTGCAGACGCAGGACAGGAAAGTCCGACTGGAACCGCTCGCGGAGCTGGAGACGAGTAGCGCGGATCCAGGGGATCAAAACATCAGGGACCTCCCCCTTGCTGCGCAAGGGGAAGACCGTGGTGTAACGCGTGTAGTCGTCGACGACCAGCAGGAAGTACCGCTCGTGGCCCTGTCCACGGACGCGGGCTGGGCCCCACACGTCCATGTGGAGAGTCTGCAGGGGAGCCTCTGTGGGAGGAAACGAGGAGGAGTGAGGAGCGGCGCGCTGCCGCCCCTCGACGCAAGGAATGCAGGGCGGCGCAGGCGAGGGAGGGAGGGCAGGCAGAGACTCAGGAAGGCCAGAGACCAGGTAGCGAGAGTGCATGCTACGAAGGCGAGGCAGGGAGGGGTGACCAAGGCGGTGGTGCCATAGGAGAGTGTCGTGCGACAGTCAGCGACACTCACACTGGGTAGCTACCTGAGCAGACGCGTACAGCTGGGGAGACAAAGGGGTGTAGCGCGACGCAGTGGTGAGGGTGTACAGACTGGACCCAGGCGCACGTGTGAACGTGGCCAGGTGACGGCCGGTCCGGGAGCACGTGCAGATCGCCACACGCTGTCCTCCAGGAGTAAAGGTGTCAACCCAGTGATCCTGAAGGACGGCGTTGCTCACCAAGTTCGTAGAGAACGAGGGGAGGTGGAGACCAGACAGCTCACCAGACGGGACCGCCGGACACGAAAGCACAGTGGAAGACAGTGCAAGCACTGGGCCCCCAGAGGGGTCAGCCAGTGAGACAGGAACAGGTGCAGGGAGGGGATTGACTGTGGTACTGTCGCGAAAGAAACAGCGGGAAGCACCAGAGTCAAGTGTAAAGGTGTGCAAGGCCTGTGCAGGCGCAGTACCAAGGGGAGCAGACTCACAAGCACCTAGTGTTACAGGGGCTATACCAGGATCCGGCGGCACACACAAGTAGCAGTCACCCTCAGCACTAACAGTCAATGCATACATAGCAGCAAGAATTGCCTCATAGTCAAGATCAAAGATAGGTACATCACGCCTAAGCAAGTCTGCCCAGTTGGGGAACTCAGTACCATCAGGAAACTTGGCGCGCCAGGCGTCGCTAAGCCGAGCGAAGCAGCGCTGCTCAGTGTGAAACCCTGTGCATTGGCGATTAGCGCGGGGACCTGTGCGAATGATATAGGGGCAGCGACCAGGACCCCCAGAAGCCCCATGCCCGGCATACCAGTCAAGAAGCTGCTGGGAAGTGGGGGTCTGGCGCTGACGCTGCTGCTGCTGCTGCTGCTGCGGCTGCTGCTGGCCCTGACCTCCACTGCCACCACCGCTCCCTCCTCCCCCACCGCCGCTGCTGCCACCTCCACCGCTCCCAGTGCCTCCGCTGCCCCCACCACCACCTCCACCACCTCCACCCCCACGACCGCCTCCACCACCTCCACCTCTCCCGCCGCCACCTCCACCGCCACCTCCACCGCCACCCCCACCTCCCCTGCCACCCTTGCCGCCCCTGCCGCTGCGACGCTTCCCACTAGGAGCGGAAGCAGCCCCGACCTCCTCAGCACCAAGGTAGTCGTGAGCAGCAGCTGCGGACGCGTAGGAGGGGGTGAGAGGGGAGGGGGAGCACCCCTCAAAGAGGGGAGAGCGAGGAGTGCCACGAGCAGCACCTACAGCGAGGATGTTCTTCTCTGCTGCAAGGAGGTGCTTCTCGAAGTCGTCGACAGTGAGAGTGGGGGGGTCTAGCGCTAGGAAGTGGTCCCTGACGGAGCTAAGAGTGTCAGGGAGGCGGGTGACGAGGAAATAGAGAGTGAAGTACATCGGGGGGGGGGGGGGTTTGCGTCGCAGAACTCGGCGGAAAGTGCGGCACGAAAGCGAGTGTCAGTAGCGCGCAGGTGGGAAATGAGGTCCTCAGCAGTGGTGAACGAGGAAAGGTCGGGGAACAGGTAGGGTAGCATGAGCCGACCTATGGCTGCAGTGGCCGGGGAGGAGTAGCGCGCAACTACAGCGTCGTACAGCGTCTTAGCAGTTTTGTGCTGGCTGAAATGCGCGCGCTCAGTAATCGGCAGATGGTTCCTAATAGCTAGGCGTGCAGCAGCATCGCGAGTCTGCCACTGTGAGCGTTCGAGAGCAGGAGCATCGGCAGCAGGAGCAACGGCAGTGCCAGACACGTAATCGAACTGTGAAACGCCCTCTTTGGCATCGGTCAGAAGGAACAGTTGGAGATCATCTAACCACACAGCGAACTCTATGGGGCGACCGTCAAGCTCGAACGCGAGAACGTTAGGCGTCGTCATAATGGCAGCAGGCAAAGGCAGCAGAAAGCAGGCAGGCAGTAGACAGGAGGCAGTAGGCAGTAGACTGCAGGCTAAGACAGAGGCAGTAGGCAGCAGGCAGTACAGGCAACGTGCAGGGCAGTAGCTTGCTGCACTCGAGCTCCTAAGGTGGGGCTCTAGACAGTAGCAGGCCGAGCAGTTCTAAGGCAGTGGGCTCGGCAGCAGTGAGCCTCACAGGCAGGTACACGAGTAGGGCACGCGCGGCTGCTGGCTGCGTGCGGCTGAGGGCTGCGCGCGGCTCTCTGCTGTGCGTGGCTACGTGCTGCGCGCGGCTCCTGGCTGCACGTGGCGACGGGCTGCGCGCGGCTCCTAGCTGCGCGTGGCGACGGGCTGCGCGGGCGTGGCCTAAGCAGGCTGCGCGCGGGCGGCGTAAGGGGCGCGCGGGCTCTACGCGAGGCTGCGCGGGCGACGCGGGCCGGCGCGCGGCGCTGCAGCAGTGGCGCGCGCTAAAAACAGTGACGCGCGCGCTAGAAACCGAGGCGCGCGCGGAAAAAAAAAAAGTGACGCGCGCTGCAACCGAGGCGCGCGCGGGCAGTAGGCAAGGCAGGCAGGTGGTAACACAGTTACGTGGGCCCGATTCTTAGGTCCTAGAGACCTCCTGCTCTAGATACCATGTTAAGACTAAGTCAAGGGAATGGTGAGATTATGTCAAGGTTGGGGTACAAGACTAGAGTGTCGAGAAAGTTTCTGTACCCCCTAAGGCTAGCACCAATATAGCCTAGATAATGATATGCATATGTTTTGACAGTCTGGTCCATATTTCTCAGGCTTTGTCGGACGGGCAAGGGGTGGTTAGCGATTTTTATGACTTCGGTGAAGGCGCAAACGCTATCGTAGTCGGAGTGAAATAATCGTATCTATTTTACAGACCGACGCTTTGCAGCCCACCAAGTCTATCGCACCCCTTCCACAAACTACCTCTGAAACGCGAGGGTAACCTAGGAAAAGAGCTCTGATACCAAGTGTTATGAGTTGTAATGAAAAGAGTGCGCATGATTCAATAACGCGGAAGTGATAACAACTACTGAACAAATAATGAGACCTAGCATTAATATAGCGAAGGCTAGCTAGGCCGAGGTCGCGGGACCGCGCATGGTCGGGTGCAGGTTCGGGGTTGGGAAACCCGAAGGCGACGCGAGGGACGTTCGGAGGGCGAGGTCATCGGACTGAGCCTGGAACTCCGAAAGTTGGAGTTGTACATGTATGGAGTGCCTCGGTAAGGAATTAGGCAAAATTCCTTACAGTATCCACACTTCACAAAAGAATCCAAACTAATTTAGTTCGTAAGATATTCCTCAAGCGCAGTTTCAAGTTTGTGCGAAACCGTGAAACAAGTGTTTGAACCATCCCTTTAAAGCACCTCAGTAGTCAACAGTGACGGGTCGGAAGACGAAGGACGGAACCAGAGGTCAGCAACAGTGGTGCGCAAGTTATCGTGTCACTCACGGGGTGACTGGCGCAGTCCGTAGACTGGTCGTCTAAGGCTCCACTAGGTCCCAGGCAGGAAAGTACCAGTGAAGCCAGGAGGACGGCGTAGCCAGATCTCCTCATGCAGAGTGCCCTGGAAAAAGGCAGTAGAGAAGTCTAGTAAGTGCAGCTTGTAGTCTCGCATGTGTTGCGACGCATAGTATCATCCAAAGAATGGTAATCTATGGGGTGGGGAAGAAGGTATGGAAGAAGTCTACTCCTTCACGCTGACTGAATCCTCTAGCCACGTAGCGCGCCTTGAAAGCAGGTGGTGAAACAGGCGGTCGTTTCACCTTGAAGATCCACATGCCAACGACTACGTTCGCCAGGGGAGGGGAACTGCGTCAGTTTAAGTAAGAGGAGTCGGGATGTCTGGAGCGTCAAGGTCTTTTTCGAAGGCTAGCAGCATGGCACAAAGATGGGTAGAAGCGGCTGCAAGGAACTCCAGCTCAAAGTGCCTGTCCTCTAGGACGTCAGAGCCAAGGGCAGACTCGGTGGACAGATGGCGGGTAGGGAGAGCATCCACCAAGCGGGTGGCATAGTCAAGGCGGTGGGTGGCGGCAAAATCAGTGACAGCGGCAACAAAAGCTGCAAAAAACGACGGAGAAGCATTAGGGTCTGTAACGAGAGAGGAGAGAACGAGTGAGACAACAGGGCGAGCAACACGGTAGTAGTCAGTGAGAGACAGTGAGGATACTGTAAGAGCTGACGAAGGAGGCAACGAGAGGACAAACGGAGGCGGAGAACGAGGAGGAAAACATGACAGCGCACCACAGAAACGCACACAGCAGCCTGCCTAGCCTGAGCAAGCTAACCTCAGGCCTTGCACGAGCACCCTGCACATGTACTGTACAAGATCGGATGATCGGATAAGAGGATGGTTTGTCTCATCCGACTTGGAACGGAAAAGTACAAGGAACAATGTACTGTATATCAGGAGCCAGACTTTTTACTCCTAGATATAGGATTCCATTCCTACACAAAGCCGTATTCTAAAACATTGTCTATATTTGGCCCAAACTTCAGCACCTCCAGAAAAAAGCTGTACGGTCGATGGAATACTGGAAACACCTCATGGGCTAGTACCTCAGGGATTACCAGCATGCAGACTTTGATTTCCTTGAGGCTCATACCTGCATAATGCATTCATGATGTGTATGATCATGTATTGGCGAGACAGCGCCAGACGGCCTTGGAGAGTTGTGCCTCCTCAAGGGGTTTGGAGAGGTAGTCATCCATGCCGACGGCAAAGCAGTGGTGGCGCGTGCCGGCAATCACATCCGCTGTGAGCGCAATGATGGCCACATGCCCCCCGCCCTGAGCCCTCTCCCGCGCTCGGATCCTGCGAGTCGCCTCCAGCCCATCCATGCCCGGCATCTGGAGGTCCATGAAAACGAGGTCGTAGGGGTGGGGCGGGGCGAGGGCTTGAAGCGCCTTGATGCCGCCATCCACGGCGGTGACTCGCGCGCCGTGCCTCTCCAGCAGCTTGCTGGCCACCTTGCGGTTGATCACATTGTCATCCACCACCATCACCCACCGACCCAACAGCACCGCCAGCCCCTCAGCCACCGTCGCCGGCTCTTGAGCCGTTGCTACCGCTGCTGCTGCTGCTGGGGCTGCTAGTGTTGCTGCTGTTGTTGCTGCTGGTGCTGCTTGTCGGGATGATGCTGGGAATGATGGTGTCGGTAGGGATGATGCTGGGGCTGCTACCGCAGCTGCTGGTGTTGGTGATGATGGCGATGATGTGCGGGTGATGGCAGGAGAGAGCGTGGCAACAGAGGACGACGATGGAGCAGGGGTGAGATCAGCAGGCCGAGCATACAGGGGAGGGATCCCTGAGAAATCGAGCAGACTCCCAAAACCACGCACTCGACCACCACCACCACCACCAGCTGCAGCAGCAGCAGCACCAGAAGCACCATAGCGTCCGTCGCTGCTTCTCCGTTGATTGCTCTCTCTTCCATGCAACCTCCCAGCTGCTCCCCTTTCACCCCCGGACCCGTGCTTTGTTGCCCTCCTCTCACCCTTTGGCCCTTGCATCTCTGCCCTACGCTCTGCTGCTCTAGCCGCTTCCACCACACTTCCGCCCCTCACAAAAGCTCTCAACCCCTGAGGCACATAGTGCTGCAACCCCTGGGGCGAATCAGGAACATTTTCCACAGCACTGCCGCTTCTTACCAGAGCTTTCACCCTCTGAGGCACATAGTGCTGCAACCCCTGATGTGACTCATAATAATTCTCCACAGCACTGCAGCTCCTCTCCAGAGCTTTCTCTCCCTGTGCCACAAAGTGCTGGCCATTCTGAAGCGCATCAGAAAGTGCTACCTCAGGACTCTCACCCCTCACCAGCACTCGCCCTCCCAAAGCGACACTTCCGCTCGCAACAGCAGAGCCAGAAACAGCAGCAGATGTCAAATCAACCAAAGCGGCTGGACTAGCGTTGGCAGAAGATGTCAAATTGACCGACGCAGCAGCAGTAGCATCGGCAGCGGACGTTAGATCGGCCGAAGCAGCAGCAGCAGCAGCAGCAGCAGCAGCAGTGGTCGCTGCTGCAAGGTGCTCAAGCGAAGCCACTTGGTTGGCCAACGAGGCAATGTTGCCATCCATACCATTCATACCATTCATACCATTCATGTCATCCATACCATTCATGTCATCCATACCATTCATGTCATCCATACCATCATTACCATCCATACCATCCATACCATCCATACCAATCATGTCATCCATACCATCATTACCATCCATGCCATCCCTGCACTTCTGCCATCCCTCCTCCTCCTCCTCCTTCACCGCCACTCCGTTGCCTCGGGCGCACATGTTAGGGGCTGCCTGGGCCTTGCATGCATCGTGAATGACACTCGGGGACGGTACAGCCGGCTCCTGAGAGAGTCGATGATCCTCAGTAGCAGCAGCGGTAGCAGCAGCAGGAGCAGCAGGAGCAGCAACGGTGGTAGCAGCAGGAGCAGATGCACCACCAGCAGCAGCAGCAGCGGGGACGAGGAGGTTGGGTGTGAGATGCACAGCTAGAGAAGCAGAGGGACCACCACTTGCATTGGGTGACATGCTTTTCGTAGCAACGGAGCTTGCTTGTTTGGATTGGGGAGAGTTAGAATTGGGAGTGCTCAGTGTGTTGCGAGTGCTGGGAATGGTGGGAGTGTTATGAGTTAAAGGAGTGGTGGGAGTGGTGGGAGCGGTGGGAGTGGTGGGAGTGGTGGGAATGTTGGGCGTGGTGGGAGTGGTGGGTGTATTGGAGGGACAGGGAAAGGTTATGAGCGACTGAGGGGAACTGAGTGCCCCGGGGGACTTGAGAGCTTGTGGGGACTTGAGAGCTCGAGGGGACTTGAGTGATTGTGGAGACTTGAGTGATCGTGGGGACTTGAGTGATTGTGGAGACTTGAGTGATCGTGGGGACTTGAGTGATTGTGGAGACTTGAGTGATCGTGGAGACTTGAGTGATCGTGGGGACGTCACAGCTCGCCAGAGGGCTGCTGCAGCGCTGCTGCCAGCCTTGTGGAGGGCAGACGGGCTCAGCACCACACCACCCCCCCACTGCCCCTTCACCTCTCCCCCCCTCAGCTCTCCCTGTGCCACATCCTCACTTTTGCCTCCTTCTCCTCCTCCTGCTACCCCTGCTCCTCCTGCTCCTCCTGCTACCCCTGCTCCTCCTGCTCCTCCTCCTGAAAGCTCACACTGACCTTGCTCCGACTCTGCACTAAACAGCGGCAGCAGCGCCGCCAGCAGCGCCGGTTTCCGCAGGGGCTTCCTTATAACAGCATCGAAGCCAAGTGACAATAGCGAGGGGATGGACGGGGAGGGTGTGAGTGAGAGCGCAGGCGAGGGAGAGAGGTGAGATTCAGTGGCAGGAATTGGCGGAGAAGGGGAGAGAGACAGAGAAGGGGGCGAGCTTTTCCTGCTCTTGCTCCTGTTGCTACCTCGGCAACCCTTCGACTCATAGCTACGGTCATCTGGCTTATATGCACAGTCACCCCCAGATTCGCTTTCATCTACCCCTCCTGCTTGCCTTTTGCGGCCGCCCTCCCTGTCCCCGTTATAAGCCTTCCTCTTGTAAGGGATGAAGCTGTCGGGGGCGAGAGGAGAAGAGCCGTGAAGAAGCACAAGAGAAGGAACAGGCCAGCTGCAGTCTCTCTTTCTCATTAGCTCGCCTTCCCCCGTCATCCCAACTCTCGCCTGACCTGACACAAGAGAGTAGATTTGATCTGCTGTGACGCCCAGCCGCTGCATCATCTCCCCCTCCACCACCACTGCTCCCACCCATCCCCGTCGTTGCGCCTCGCGCAACCTCCTGTAGTGTACCCGCTGCACCTTCCCCGCTCCATCTTCCTCCCCTCCTTCCTCCTCTCCTTCCTTCTCTTCCTCCGCCGCTTCTCCGTCCTCCTCCTCCTCCTCCTCCGCCTCTTCCTCCTCCTCCAATTCCTTTGCTTGTTCCTGCTGCTGCTGCCACCGCCGCTGCTGCAGCTGATGCCACTGCTGCTCCTCCTCCCCTCCGCTTGCACTTCTCGCACTAGGGGAGTGAACATCGATGGAGAGGGGAGGGCAAGGAGGACAGGCAGCGACGGAGATGGGAGGGCAGGAGTACTGGCGGGAAAGGAGGGCGGCAAGTGGAGGAGCTACAAGCACAGCCGGTGAGCCAAATGGCTCAAGAGGAGGAACAAGCGGGTCAAGAGTAGAAGCAAATGGGTCGAGAGGAGGAGCAGAAGGCTCGAGAGGAGGAAATATCTCCTCAATAGGATGACATGAGTGGTTAATGGCTGGTTCTGAGTGGGCTTGTGCACACGAGTCGGCTAGAAGCAGAGGGACCAGAGACAGATCACGAGGTGTGTGGCGTGTTGTGGGGGAAGCGGCTATAAGGGCTCCGATGGATCTCTGAATGGTGGGTAGTGTGCGGCGTGACAGGGCAGTGTGTGACTTGACGCGGCGAGGAGGAGGCGGAGGGTCGAGAGAGAACGGTTGGTGGGCGTTTTCGTGCGCTTCATAAGCTGTGGAGGAAGTTTTTAGAAGGTACTCAATGGAGAGTTGAGAGGTGGGTAGCGGGAGGCACGACAGGGCAGTGTGTGACTTGACGCGGCGAGGAGGGGGAGGAGCAAGAGAAGATGGCGGGTGGGGTTTCTGAGGTGCAATGGAGTGTCGAGAGGTGGGTAGTGGGAGGCTTGACAGGGCAGTGTGTGACTTCACGCGACGGGGGGGAGGGGGATGAGTATGAGAGGGTGGAGCATAGGGTGCTGCTGTTGAGGCAGTGAGAGAAACAGTGCGAGGAGCACGAGGGGGGTGGATGGCTGTGGGTGAGAGGAGGTGAGAGAGGTATCTTGCAGAAAAAGACGGTTCAGAAGTGAGCTCGGCCTTGTGTTGCTCCTTCTCCTCCTGCTGCTGCTCCGTGGGAACGGGCATGACATGACTTGATGACTCGTGGTGCAAGGAGCGGTGTTGGGCGAGGAGGCGGGGGAGGAGGTGGAAGGAGGGGCAGGGGAGGGTGCAGATGCCAAGGCGGCGCAGCAGAGAGAGAGTGACGGCATGCCGCACCGGCCGGTCGTCCACACTCACCACAAGCACGCCCTCTAGCCCACAGGCCGCCCTCCCACCACTCCCACCACTCACCACACACACGCCCTCCCATCCCCGTGCCGCCCTCCCACCACTCCTACCACTCACCACACACACTCCGCCTAGCCCACAGGCCACCTTCCCGTCATTCCCACCATTCGCCACACACACGCCCTCCCATCCCCGTGCTGTCCTCCCGTCATTCCCACTGCTCCCACTTTCTAGCCCACATGCTCCCTGCTGCTGCTGCTGCTGCTGCTGCTGCTGCTGAGGCAAGTGGCAGGAGTGTCGAGGAGGAGGAGAGCTGATGAAGGGAGTGCTAGAGGGGTTGGCAGGGGGTGGCAGAGAGGCTGTGGAGGCAGCAGGCAGAGGAGGAGGAGGAGGAGAAGGAGGGTGGGGTTGAGGGGGAGAGGAAGGGGGTTGAGGGGGTGTGTGGAGGAGGATATCGAAGAGGAAGGTGGTGCCGACTCCTGGCTTGCTGGTGAACGAGATGGATCCGCCCATCATCGACACCAGGCGCTGCACGGGGGGGGGGGGGGGGAGTGGGAAGGGGCAGAGAGGGATTAGGAAGGATGTGGGCAGGTGGAGATGGATTTGGCCATTAGCGACACCAGGCGCTGCACGAAGTGGGGAGTGGGAGGGACAAGGGAGGGCGGTGGTGTGAGGGGTAACGCACGCAGGTGCCTCAACGCAGAGTACCTTGCAAGGCAGCTGTCCCGACCCAAGGCACCTTGCAGATGGAGAGGCCGATGCAATGCACCTTAAAGCCCAGTGGTCACGTTCAATCAGGGATTCCCAACGCTGCCCACCTTGCAGATGGAGAGGCCGATGCCCGTGCCTCCATGCAGCCGTGCCGTGCTGCGCTCTGCCTGCGCGTACGGCCGGAAGATGTGACTCCGAGCATGGCGGGGGATGCCGGTACCTGGCAGGGATTGACAGGCGGGGCAGCGAAAGCAGAAGAAATTGAATGTATACATACATATATATGTATATACATATATGTATATATGTATATATGTATACATATATGTTTATATATGTGTGTATACATATATGTATATATATATGTATATATATGTATATATATAAGGGACGAAAGATAGGAGTTTCCCTGGCCTGCTTCTTGCTGCAGTTAGACCCTAAAAAATTGATGCCGTTACAGAACTAGGCCAGGCATTGAAGGTGGAAGGGATGGAAGATACAAGAAAAGGCACAAGACACATGTTCTTGTCCAGTTCACTACACCCTGTGTGCAATGTGGGGAGACAGTGTGGTTAGCACGATATGGAACAGCTAACAAACAAGCACACACATACACGCACGCACGCACAAGCGCATGCACGAACTCACGCAAGCACGCAACCATACATGCACACACTTGCACACACTCACACGCACGCACGCGCGCGCGCGCGCACACACACACACACGCGCATGCACACACACAAACACACACACACACACACACACACACACACACACACACGCACGCACACCCATACTACAAAAACGTACCTGTGTCTTCCACAGCCACCATCAGGCGCACAGGCTGGTCAGGCCCCACGATGCCACTGCCACGCCCACCGTCATTCCCACCACCACATCCCTCGACATGCCCGCCATCACCATACCCATCCCCATGCCCGGTATAGTTCGCCGTGCCCATGCCCATGCCCACGCCCACTGCTGTGAGATCCATGTGCTCCCGCATGCCCTCCCAGGAACACCACGTCTTCATGGCTGGTCGGCCACTCAGCGTCACACACGCAGCAGGCTCAGCAGATGCCTCCGAAACGGCTCCATTACCGCCACCCCTCTTCTCTGCAGCAGCAGCAGTGCCCCCGTCGCCCTCAGCTGGATCCTCCGCCTCTCTCCGTCTGCTTGAATTGGTGCAGCCTTTGTCTCGCAATTGGGAACTGCCGGCCGGTGCTTTAGAGAGTGATGATGAACGTGATGGTTCTACTGACGGCGATACTGATGGTGAACGTGAGGGTGGCTGTGAGGATGCGGAGGAGGAAGGGGAGGGTAGTGGCGGGGGGGCGTCGCTGCTAGTGCTGTCGGTGGCGGTTGCAAGGCGCACGGCGATGAAGACGTGGCCTCTGGTGGTGAACTTGAGGGCGTTGCTGATGAGGTTGATGAGGATCTGTGGCGGAGGGAAGCAGAATGGGTAGGGGGCATTGGACAGGGAAGGGGGGGCGTTGGGCAGGGCTAAGGGGGTAGAGGCATGGGGCGCGGGAAGGGGGGGTGGGGGAAGGGGGGCGGGGGCATTGGTGGTGAACTTCAAGGCGTCATGAATGAGGTTCATGAGGTAAGATGAGGTGTTCCCTCAGAAGACGATGGGACATGCGCATGCACTCCCTCGCACATCTGCAAGCACGCAGGTCAAGAAAGGAACGTTGCAGAGAGCAGGAGGCTGCACAAGAAACTGCCAGACTTGGCTCACCTGCCCCTGCCATGCACTTTCCCCTACCATGCACCCTCCCCCTGCCATGCACCAGCTTCACGCGAAGCAGGTGCGTTATCATGACGGTTCGAGTTCGGTACTTGCTCATCATCATGCCTACTTCGAACAATTTATACGCACCTGTTTCACTCGGAGGGGGTCCCCAAGGAGCATCTCCGGCACATCGTTGGCCACAAACGCCGCAAGCTCCACAGAGCACTTCTCCTGGACGCTCTCCACAAAGAGCGCGAGCACGTCGTCGAGCTCGGCACGGAGGTCCAGCGGGATGCGCTCGAGATGCAGCTTCTCGGCCTCGATCTTGGAGAGGTCGAGAATGTCGTTGATCAGCGCACACAGCGCCCGCCCGCTGCTTTGCGCCGTCAGTGCGTAGTCCTTCTGCGACCCGTCCAGAGGGGTTTCCAGCAGCAGGTTCAGCATGCCTGGTGGGGAGGGGAGGAGAGAGGGAAAAGAGATAGTAGTCCAATCGTCCAAAGGAGTTTCTTACAAAAGCTTGTTTGGTGCAAAAAAACACTTTGCACGACATCTTGCCGTCTGTAGTACGCAAATGTGATTGCGTAAGTGTTATGTTATTGTGTGTTTGTTTGCTTTGGCTACTTTTGCTTAACGCATTCACATATATTTTGCTATGTGGCAACGTGCGCTTCAACATAACATTGTAGGCACTAGACATGAGCAAAAATCCGAACGCCTGTTCGGTTCGTCCGAACATGTTCGTGACAAAACCGAACCGAACATGTTTTTTGGCCGCAAATGTTCGGCCAAACATGTTTGATTAGATATGAGCATCGAACCGAACCTAGGTTCGGTTCGCTCGAACCGCTTCGATATAATTCGAACCGAACTTTTTTTCTCGTTAAAAAAGTTTGAGCAAACCTTTAAAAAGTTCGCGCGAACCTTTGAGGTTCGAGTTTTGAACTTCGAACCGAACAGGTCGAGGTTCGAAACAGCCTAATTCAAACCGCGTGGGGTTCGAGATAGACACCCGCCAGGCCAGCAAGAACCCTCGCGACTTTCCCGTCAAAAACGGGAAAGTCAAAGGGTTGGCTGCCATTTCAAGGCAGCCAACCCTAATCTCGTGAAGTAGGTAGAGCAGCCATTCTAAGGACCACACCAACGTACCTCTTTACCATTCTTCCACTACAACTCCATCTTATGATGTGTTTAACGTTTTGGACTTAGGTTAGACAGAACAGTGCGCCTTATCTATTATTTTACATTAAGGGGAGCATTCCGTTTTTTAGGAGCGTTCTTCCTTGTGTATCATTTTTAACCCCAAACCTAAACAGGTTCGAGTTCGCTCAAACCTTTCAAGGTTTGAGCGAACATTTAAGGTTCGATATTAGATATTCAAACCTCAAACCTCAAAGTTTAAAAAAAAACTTTGAGCAAACCAGTTCGGTTCGGTTCGACCACCATGCACGGTTCGCAAAGGTTTGAGCAAACATGTTCGAGTTCGGTTCGTGCTCATATCTATGTTAGATGTTCGGCCGAACATGTTCGATGTTCGGAAGGGGGGGAGGGAGGCACGGGGGAGGAGCAGGCCCACTGACAACACACTCTCGAACCTCGAACATGTTCGGGTTCACCCCGAACATGCAGTGTTCGCCCCCCTATCACAAGACATGTTCGTGGAGGTTCGGGCGAACATGTTCGGTGTTCGCCCGCTGCTCATGTCTAGTAGGCACCGTCTGTTTGTACGAGTATGTTTGTACGAGTATGTTTGTGCGAATGCATTTGCATGTGAATGGTATGTTCGTGTGTTTGTTTGCTCTCGCAATTTTTGCTTGATGCGTTTGCAGAAACTCGCGCAATGTGCGCTTCGACACAAAATTGTACGCGCTATGAACAGTGCACGCAGAAAAGGCGAGCTCGCAAATGAACCCAAGATGGATGTTTTGCAGTTCGGTTCATTTGAAATTGTATGGTTTTGTTGAACTATATTTCAGTTACATTTTAATTATATTTCAATTGAGCATATATTTTCTTGGCTTTTTTTTCTACACGATTTGGCGACGAAAATGTTATCAAGGCCAACGCTAGTACGCCAGCACCACGATGCTACGGAAACGTTGATTGGGGTGGAATTAAGGAGCCCTAGCACTTTTTGTGAAGCAACTTGACTCGTTTGAAAGTTCTTGACCGGAGCTTCGATACAGTCGATTCTCAGCTAAATCCGATCGACGACCTTCCCGATCCCCTGCGTGACACTACCACATTACCACCTTACCATGCTACTGCGTTATCACAGACCACATTACCATGTTACCACGTTATAATGTTACCTATAACCCCGTTCATGGGTGTGCGGGTCTCTTGAGACATCGTTGTGAGAAATTCGCCCTTGGCTCGGCTCGCTACTTTCTGTTGTGCACCACGTCCCAGTGGGTAGTTTTTCACCTTTAGTCTTAGAGATTGTGGGTTGAATCCTCAGCATATGCACCTTCTCCTCTCATTATACTCAACCACAGTGAAATGTGGTCACAGTTAGACATGAGCAACGGGCGAACACCGAACATGTTCGCCCGAACCTCCACGAACATGTCTTGTAGGGGGGCGAACACTGCATGTTCGGGGCAAACCCGAACATGTTCGAGGTTCGAGAGTGTGTTTTCAGTGGGCCAACTCCTCCCCCGTGGCCTCCCTCCCCCCCCTTCCGAACATCGAACATGTTCGGCCGAACATCAAACATGTTCAGCCGAACATTTTTTGCCAAAAAACATGTTCGGTTCGGTTCTGTCACGAACATGTTCGGACGAACCGAACAGGTGTTCGGGTTTTTGCTCATGTCTAGTCACAGTTGGCATTGCCGCCTGTCCACTCTCATCTTGCTGGCCCCTATGGTGTGCCATATGCTGCAATGTGGGATGTTGTTCCAGCCTGGCCCGCATGTGCAACATGAGGCCTCACTTGCTAGCTTGGTAAGGTTAGCTAGCCTGGCCCTCAGATTTGAGGTGCTGCAGCTAGCCTCAAGAGTTTAGCCATAAATATATGAGTTCCTACTTCACTATGAATCATCCTTAAATAAGAACATTGCTCTTGTCTCTAAGGGCGTGTAACTTTTTCCGTTTCTGCCAAATGTCCGGACGGAGCCCTCAAAACGTTCGAACGGAGCTCCGTCCGGACGTTAGGGGATGTGGTTCGGACGACAGGGCGTCCGTACCACATGCGTGAAACTTTTTGCAGTTTCGAAAAAATAAAACAGTAACGCGCATAACCAACCTCGCCTGCACATCGCCCAATTCGCGAAATGATTGATTTCCCAAGCGGGAAATCGAGTCGCCAAAAAGGATGAAAACCCTGCTTCGTGCGCCAATGACGTTGCAAGAGTTCCGGACGGTCCGAAATGATGTCCGTACGGTTTCAGCAGCGCAGAACGGACGATGATTTGACAAAAAAGTGTCAGTCTTAGAACGGACGATGGCGAAGTCGCAAGGGGTCTTGCGAACTAGCTAACGAAGTACCGCGAAATGTGTAACCCTACGAAAGTCCGGACGGGTCCTCCGTTCGGACGATGAAAAGCGAATAAAAGTTACGCGCCCTAAGGCTTGTACCATCTTCCTGCTAAGAATATTTTTCTCTTCTCATTGTGCCCTGAACTTCACCGATTCATTTTCGACACTTTCAAAGCACCTCAAACATACAGATTTGGAGAGAAGAAATAAAAGCATACCTATGACGCCGTTCATGGGTGTGCGAATCTCATGCGACATCGTCGTGAGGAAATCCCCCTTGGCTCGGCTCGCTGCCTCGGCCTCCAAGCGGGCGGCACGTAGCTCATGCTGGGCGGCAGCTAAGTGTTGACAGTCGCACTCAAAGGCATGCATGAGTTGGATGCACGTCCAGAGGAGAATGGTGGAGACGGAGAGGAAGAGCAACGCCACCACAATCCAGATAAACGGGCCGAATGGCTTGGTGTATGAGATGTGCCTGTGGTGTGGTGGGACAGAGGACGAGGGGTGGGAGGGGAAGGGGAAGAAGGGATATGTGCCCGTGGTGGGATGGAGATTGATGGGGTGGGGAGACATCGTCCAAAGAGGAGCCCATGATGTGAAGGGGCGAGGTGATCGTATTCAAAGTCAAAGGAGTGCATGAGGTGGATGCACGTCAAAAGTGGAGAGTGGTGAATATACATGTCTCGAGAATGCATGGACGCATGTGTGAGGAGTGTACGTATCATGAACGCATAACGTCCATATGCATATCTTTTGTACTCACGTCCACATGTACACATCAACTCACTCGCAGAAAAGATAGAAGGTTCTCGTCGGATCACCTAGGTACACCTCCCGTTGCACTCTCCCCGCTTCTTGCTCCTTCCCATCCATCATCCATGCTCCAATCTCCTCCTCTCCCACCACCCCTTCATGATCAAACAGCAGCGCTGGCAACCATTTTACAGCCTTCCCATCCTCATTCCTCGCACCATCCCACGCCCTGCCCCTCGTCCCATCCACCAGATAAACCCTCTCGTTCATCTCCACCAGCTGCTGAAACCCCGCAAGCGATCGCAGGTTTGCAAAGTTATACCCGGCGATGACAAACCCTCGGGGGAGGTCCTCAGGGGTGGCGAGTGGGGGGATGATGACGGAGGGAGGGGAGGGCGAGGGGGGCAGGGCGAAGGTGGTGAGGTTGAAGTAGACTGGGAAGGCCTGGCCGATGAAATGGTAGGGGTAGTTGTCGCGGACGAAGGGCGGGGAGATGGCGGAGGAGGCTGAGTCGATGGCCCGGTGGAACGTGTCGTTAAACGCTGGGTCTGAGAGGGTTGAGAGGGTTGCGGAAGAAAGGAAACACAAAACTGGACTCTCTCAGTTGAAGATGACAAAAAGATGCCTACAGGGGCAGACAGGTTGACTGAAACTAGTTCTTGAGAACTCTCAACTCAAGAGTGGCTCCAGTTCTTCTAGCAGCCCAGCCCTTAGGCTCACCTGCCATGACGTCCAGGCAGCAGACTGCTGAGAGGTTCGCGCGTGTCTTGAACTCCTTGCGAGAGTTGAAGATCACCAGCGGTGAATACAGCGGCAGGTCGCGCGGGCGGCAGGAGAGCGTGCCATTGGGCTCGGGGATGAAGATGCAGTGGCGGGCGTTGGTCTCCACCATGTCGCGAATGAATGAGTTGTTGACCAGGAGTGTGAAGCCCACAACTACAGGGTACACGGGAGGGGGAAGGGGGGGGGGGGGGGGGGGGGGGACAGGGGAACGCAAGGGGGAACAGCACAGGAGAGTGTGCAGTTGGGCTGCAGTGGTGGGCGTTGGTCTCCACCATGTCGCGAATGAACGTGTTGCTGACCAGCAGTGTGAAGCCCACGACTACAGGGGAGGGGACACATGGGGAAAACGGGGGGGAACAGCACAAAAGAGCGTGCAGTTGGGGTTGGGGGCGAGGATGCAGTGAATTCCGTTGTCCCGAATAAACGAGACGTTGACTAGCAGCGTGAAGCCCACGACTGGCGGATGCGGATTGCGGGGAAATGCAGGGGAACATGGGTTGGGATAGGAGGAAGAGGGAGAGAAGGAGGGAGGGAAGGATGGAGAGAGGCTGGCTTTGTGGCGGGTCAGAAACATCTCTGTGACGCCATGGGTCAATCGGTACACACCACATGCATGCAACTCACATGACGCCATGGGTCAATCAGAGCACACCACATGCAACTCACATGACGCCATGGGTCAATCAGAGCACACCACATGCAACTCACATGACGCCATGGGTCAATCAGCGCACACCACATGCAACTCACATGACGCCATGGGTCAATCAGAGCACACCACATGCAACTCACATGACGCCATGGGTCAGTCACAGCACACCACATGCAACTCACATGACGCCATGGGTCAGTCACAGCACACCACATGCAACTGACATGACGCCATGGGTCAGTCACAGCACACCACATGCAACTCACATGACGCCATGGGTCAGTCACAGCACACCACATGCAACTCACATGACGCCATGGGTCAGTCACAGCACACCACATGCAACTCACATGACGCCATGGGTCAGTCACAGCACACCACATGCAACTCACATGACGCCATGGGTCAGTCACAGCACACCACATGCAACTCACATGACGCCATGGGTCAGTCACAGCACACCACATGCAACTCACATGACGCCATGGGTCAGTCACAGCACACCACATGCAACTCACATGACGCCATGGGTCAGTCACAGCACACCACATGCAACTCACATGACGCCATGGGTCAGTCACAGCACACCACATGAAACTCACATGACGCCATGGGTCAGTCACAGCACACCACATGCAACTCACATGACGCCATGGGTCAGTCACAGCACACCACATGCAACTCACATGACGCCATGGGTCAGTCACAGCACACCACATGCAACTCACATGACGCCATGGGTCAGTCACAGCACACCACATGCAACTCACATGACGCCATGGGTCAGTCACAGCACACCACATGCAACTCACATGACGCCATGGGTCAGTCACAGCACACCACATGCAACTCACATGACGCCATGGGTCAGTCACAGCACACCACATGCAACTCACATGACGCCATGGGTCAGTCACAGAACACCACATGCAACTCACATGACGCCATGGGTCAGTCACAGCACACCACATGCAACTCACATGACGCCATGGGTCAGTCACAGCACACCACATGCAACTCACATGACGCCATGGGTCAGTCACAGCACACCACATGCAACTCACATGACGCCATGGGTCAGTCACAGCACACCACATGCAACTCACATGACGCCATGGGTCAGTCACAGCACACCACATGCAACTCACATGACGCCATGGGTCAGTCACAGCACACCACATGCAACTCACATGACGCCATGGGTCAGTCACAGCACACCACATGCAACTCACATGACGCCATGGGTCAGTCACAGCACACCACATGCAACTCACATGACGCCATGGGTCAGTCACAGCACACCACATGCAACTCACATGACGCCATGGGTCAGTCACAGCACACCACATGCAACTCACATGACGCCATGGGTCAGTCACAGCACACCACATGCAACTCACATGACGCCATGGGTCAGTCACAGCACACCACATGCAACTCACATGACGCCATGGGTCAGTCACAGCACACCACATGCAACTCACATGACGCCATGGGTCAGTCACAGCACACCACATGCAACTCACATGACGCCATGGGTCAGTCACAGAACACCACATGCAACTCACATGACGCCATGGGTCAGTCACAGCACACCACATGCAACTCACATGACGCCATGGGTCAGTCACAGCACACCACATGCAACTCACATGACGCCATGGGTCAGTCACAGCACACCACATGCAACTCACATGACGCCATGGGTCAGTCACAGCACACCACATGCAACTCACATGACGCCATGGGTCAGTCACAGCACACCACATGCAACTCACATGACGCCATGGGTCAGTCACAGCACACCACATGCAACTCACATGACGCCATGGGTCAGTCACAGCACACCACATGCAACTCACATGACGCCATGGGTCAGTCACAGCACACCACATGCAACTCACATGACGCCATGAGTCAGTCACAGCACACCACATGCAACTCACATGACGCCATGGGTCAGTCACAGCACACCACATGCAACTCACATGACGCCATGGGTCAGTCACAGCACACCACATGCAACTCACATGACGCCATGGGTCAGTCACAGCACACCACATGCAACTCACATGACGCCATGGGTCAGTCACAGCACACCACATGCAACTCACATGACGCCATGGGTCAGTCACAGCACACCACATGCAACTCACATGACGCCATGGGTCAGTCACAGCACACCACATGCAACTCACATGACGCCATGGGTCAGTCACAGCACACCACATGCAACTCACATGACGCCATGGGTCAGTCACGGCACACCACATGCAACTCACATGACGCCATGGGTCAGTCACAGCACACCACATGCAACTCACATGACGCCATGGGTCAGTCACAGCACACCACATGCAACTCACATGACGCCATGGGTCAGTCACAGCACACCACATGCAACTCACATGACGCCATGGGTCAGTCACAGCACACCACATGCAACTCACATGACGCCATGGGTCAGTCACAGCACACCACATGCAACTCACATGACGCCATGGGTCAGTCACAGCACACCACATGCAACTCACATGACGCCATGGGTCAGTCACAGCACACCACATGCAACTCACATGACGCCATGGGTCAGTCACAGCACACCACATGCAACTCACATGACGCCATGGGTCAGTCACAGCACACCACATGCAACTCACATGACGCCATGAGTCAGTCACAGCACACCACATGCAACTCACATGACGCCATGGGTCAGTCACAGCACACCACATGCAACTCACATGACGCCATGGGTCAGTCACAGCACACCACATGCAACTCACATGACGCCATGGGTCAGTCACAGCACACCACATGCAACTCACATGTCGCCATGGGTCAGTCACAGCACACCACATGCAACTCACATGACGCCATGGGTCAGTCACAGCACACCACATGCAACTCACATGACGCCATGGGTCAGTCACAGCACACCACATGCAACTCACATGACGCCATGGGTCAGTCACAGCACACCACATGCAACTCACATGACGCCATGGGTCAGTCACAGCACACCACATGCAACTCACATGACGCCATGGGTCAGTCACAGCACACCACATGCAACTCACATGACGCCATGGGTCAGTCACAGCACACCACATGCAACTCACATGACGCCATGGGTCAGTCACAGCACACCACATGCAACTCACATGACGCCATGGGTCAGTCACAGCACACCACATGCAACTCACATGACGCCATGGGTCAGTCACAGCACACCACATGCAACTCACATGACGCCATGGGTCAGTCACAGCACACCACATGCAACTCACATGACGCCATGGGTCAGTCACAGCACACCACATGCAACTCACATGACGCCATGGGTCAGTCACAGCACACCACATGCAACTCACATGACGCCATGGGTCAGTCACAGCACACCAGATGCAACTCACATGACGCCATGGGTCAGTCACAGCACACCACATGCAACTCACATGACGCCATGGGTCAGTCACAGCACACCACATGCAACTCACATGACGCCATGGGTCAGTCACAGCACACCACATGCAACTCACATGACGCCATGGGTCGACCGTCGAGAGTGGCTTGAGTGAAGCGCTGGAATTTCTCCACATCGAGAAAGTCCTCCCTCATGCTGCTTGTTCGGGGGGGGGGAGGGGGGGGGGGGAGGGGGAGGAAGGGAGGGGTGCGGGGTTGTGTCAGGGGAGAGGGGAGAATGTGAAAGGAAAATATTTCTTGGGTGGACTCATAATTCCAGAGAGTGGCTTGAGTGAAGCATTGGAGTGGGAGGCGCGGGGGGAAGGGGGGGGGGGGGGGGGGGGTGGGGGGGGTGGGGGGGGAGTGGTGGGGCGGGGTTCGGAGGGAGGCGGAATAAGGAGCTTGAGGTGGTCGTCGGCATGAGAGTCAGTCAGGGGAGCAGGCAAATGCCGCGCACAGGAGCATCAATAAGCATGCAATGCAAGCCCGTGGCCTGGCGGCCCGTACTTATCGAGGTAATAGGCGCGGATGAAGTCCGAGACAGAGCGTGTGTTGGCAGCAGTGGTGTTGAACTTGGCTTCGATGAACGCCCCCCACTCGTCGCAGTGCCCCTCCAGGTCGTCCCTCTCGTTCGCCTGCGCGTGCTGCCATGCCACTGCAAACACCAGCGACAGGATGGCTGCGGCTATCACCACCCACAGCCACAGCACTCGCTGGAAGGGGGGAGGGGGAAAAAGGGAGAGGAGTTGGGAGAGGGAATGGGGAGAATGTTTATAAGGGTAGGACGGTCAGGAAGTAGGATAGCTGCTACCACCAGCACATACACCCACGGAACTCGCATTGCACGCACAGCTTTGGGATCAGAACCCTATGCGCGGCGTACGGATGAGAACACGGTCTACGAAACAGGACACTACGCACGGATCCGAATCCACGCACGGCAAGGAATCGCCCAGCACACGGCGGCGCACAGACAGCAGGTGCGAAGTATTCCCACCGTACACACTTTGCCATGGTGGCTGAAGTTACTCACAAAATCAGCCGCCCGGCCAACATGATAGTACGCACACACACCTTTTGCGTGGTACTATTCACGGCGGCGTACCAGGGTGGCTGAGTGTAATATAAATCAGCGGCTTGACCAGCAGGTGCGTGGTACTATTCGCGGCGTACCTTGCGCCACGGGTGGCTGAGTCGTCTGAGCGGCCACGACACAAACCACTCCACACTCGTCAGCCACGACTGCCGCCCATGATATCCTTTCGCCTCTTCCGCGGACCCCTCTTCCGCGACCCCCGCAATCGATTCCGCCAGCATTTCCGCCTCCGCCTCTTCTTCCAATGCGCGGAACTCATACCCGCCATCGTCAGACTCATTCCCCTCTGCCCCCTCCGCCTCCTCCGCGCGGCACTCTGCCCCCTCCTCCCCCTCCGCCCCCTCCGCCGAATCAAGATCACTTCTATCGTCTCTCTCAGTCTCCGTCGCAGCGTCCCTCCCTTCTTCTCTCGCCTCCTCCTCCCCATTCTCCCTCTCGTTTTCCTCGGCCGATGCACATGATGATGCGCCATCGCCGCCATTGAAGCTGAAGCACGAAAAGGCGGCAGCTACCCCTGTTTGTGCGGGTACGCTGGCGGTGCTCAGAATCCGACTGGAATTCACCGTTTGAAACGGTGACGTGGCACGAACGGACGAATCGGAATCTACTCCCTGATCTGCGGCCTGTGTCGGAGGGCTCGAGATATGACACGGGGGCGCGGCATTCCTAGACGGACCATCCTCAGCCGCCGAAGACGGCGGCATTTGCGTGGCCTTACTTATAATTTCTAAATGTCGCCGTTTCTGCTGTGGCTTCAATCCGCTGAGGTTCAGGGACGGATAGCAAATCCCCGGATCGTATTGTACTGACTCTTCTCGTCCCGTCAGTAACCCTTCGCAATCCTCCCCCACTTCTAAATCCCCGTTGGACGACGTCGCTAGATTCGCTTCATGATTTAAGGTGTCGGAATCATTTCCTTTTAGTGTTTCGTCCGGAGAGCAGTCGGAGAAAACAGAGCTGTCTCCGCTTAGCGTTCGGAAGCCATTCCGATGCCTCCCCACGCAAGCTGGTATTCCCGTGCAATCCATGATGGAGTGAGAAGACACACACGACGCGCAAACGCAGATCAGCACGGAGTCAAAGGCTTGTCAGGGCAACGTGACATGCCAGCCCTGGCGAAACCAAGGTTAGGATGGCACGCCGCGTGACAAAATATCCCCCGCAAATCGGTCCTCAAAACAAGGTCCTTTCATGGCCCTGGTTTTGGGTCGCCTCACCTTGGGCAAGGGAAGCTTGAAGGGCCTTGATGGAAGACTTCTTAGGGCCGGTTCTTGGCCGAAGTCTGGCATTCCGACACGAAGCTGTGACGGTTTAGATTTGGACATGTCGACAGTGGCGAGGCTGGGGGATGATCGTGATCGTTGAGAGCTGTGTGTCAGCGAACCTGACACGGGCCAAGAATGCGCCCTTACAGTGCAGTTCTACCGTTTCTCACGTCAAGACGAGGCTTGCAAACATCATTGTGTCTATTCGGTTTCCGTTCCCCGAAATCCGGGTACATTTCGGCCTATCTTTTTCTCACAACCGTGACATTTCACACGCAAAATCGTTCTGACGAAATGTCCTAACGAGGAGGGAGTTTTGTCAGTCCGAAGTGGCTTGGAATGCCAAGTAAAAGATTGTCAGGCTTGTGAACCAAATGACACAACAAATGATTAAGATTTCGCTGCCCATAGAAACCCAAACCAGATTTGCTTGCACTTGGTCCAGCCGAAGTGTCGAAAGAACAGTTGAACAAGACAAATTAATGCCTCGGGGTTGGAAGTTACGTAGTACAGTACGCCTACAGGTGAGAGGCTGGAGGAGGCGAGCCGAACCATTCGATCCGACAGCGCACCACAGGGATGCGCTCGATGACAGACGGACAAGACAACCGCCTCGGTACTGCACACACGGTGACGAAGCACTGTACCTACACGTTACACGGGTTTGATAGAGGACCCTATCATGAGGGTTACCTACTTGATTTTGACCTGAAAAATCTCATTTATTCTAGGCTTTTGTTAGAATAAGGATCCTTTGGATATGATAAGACTTTGTTGTGGTAGAAATTTTGTTGCTTAGTGAATATAAATGACAATATTGATTAAAATAAACCATCACACACATTATATAGATCCTAGCTAGCCATAACTATGAGGGGTACATTCTCTTATTAACCGTAATGCATCGCTACCGCGCTAGCGATCCTTTAGTTACCAGGTTGCTACTGGTAATTGTAGAGACATTTATGCCTCTTTCATTTCCTTCGCTGATAACCGTTCGGTCCTGGTCAGTGAACAGTCGCGACAGTTGACTTTCGACTATTTACATGCGTGCCCTATATGGGCTAGCGCGATAGTGCTACTGTTGTTGCTTCGGTAGTGGCTGATGCGATACTGCTACACCTTCGGGAATGCTTAAGAAATTCCCTGATTACTCCAACACTCCCCTTCATTCTTGAAAGGTGTTCCACGTGGCTATTCTTGAAGACTCAGCTCAGGTCCGCACAGTACTGGAACTTCTGACATGAAAGATTTTCCGTCTGCCATTTCGCCAGTTGGGCAGTAGGTGAGGTGGAGTTTGCCCTTGTCGATTTCGTCCTTGGCGAAGAAGTAACGGAGGGCGATGTGTTTCGTGCGGTTGACAAAGCTGGGCTTGTTTGCGATCTCGATCGCGCTCTGGTTGTCGCACAGTAATTTGAATTGCCCGTTCATCCTTATATTTGTTTCTTGCTGGAGCACCGTGAGGTACAGACCTTCGCGAACTGTTGCGCTTGTTGCGATGAACTCGGCTTCAGCTGACGAGAGGGCGATGAGCTCGTGCTTCTGTGAGTTCCAAGATATAATTCCCGCAAGTTCGAGCTTGAAAATAAATCCAGTGCGGGACCTCCTGTTGTGAGCATCTCCTGCGTGGTCAGCATCCACGTAGCCAGTAAGCTGCATATTAGCTGTTAGATTTGCTTTGTAGTTGAGGGCGACGTCGGGAGTAGAAATGAAGTGCTGTAGGGCGCGTCGTATGTCCGCCATATTCTCCCCTTCAGGTCGGCGCATGTACTGGGCGAGCTGGCTAGTGGCGCACGACACGTTTGGTCGGCATGTGATGGCGGCGAAGAGAAGGCATCCGAGCTGCTGCTGGTAGAGACGATGTTCAGCGGCGGATAATGGAGTTGTGTCGGGCTCGTGATTTGGCGGAGGATTTCGGAATGGGGTGGTGAGGCTGACAGGGGCGATGACGAATTTCTTGGCGAGCGTCTTGGCGCACTTCGCGGCGGATTGTGTTACCTTAAGGCCGAGGAATCGGGTGACGTTGTGATTGACGGTCACCTCGAGCTTCTGCTTGATGTCGTGCTCGAAGCGATCGAGGAGCTCCACGTTGTCCCCAGTGTATAGTAGGTCGTCCATGTAAGCGACGAGCAAGATGAAGCTACCGCGAGACTCGAGCCGGTACATCCCCTGATAGTGAGGCAGCTGCTGGAATCCGATCTCGATGAGTACGGTGTGAAGGTACTGCTGCCACTGGCGCGGTGCCTGCTTGATCCCGTAGAGGGACTTATGGAGGAGGCACACAGCATCGCTGTCCTCCTCAAAGGCGTGCGGCTGCTGGACGTAGATAATGGCGTCGACGATCACATACAGAAACGTATTCGACACGTCGATTTGACGGAGTGGGTGCTGCTTCACGGCTGCGAAGCAGATGAGAATTTGCACGGAGGTGTGTCGTCCGACAGGTGCGAAGGTATTGTTATAGTCGGCGAATTGGGTTTGCTCGAAACCGCGAACTACCCATCGCGTTTTGTATTTGTCGATGGCGCCGTCCGCGAGAGTTATGATTCTGAACACCCAATTTCCGCTGAGGATATCCCTTTCCTTTGCATGTCGGCGTGGTACCAGCTTCCAGGTTCCGCAGCGCTTGAGTGCTGCGACTTCAGCGGCCATGGCTGCTCTCCACTTCTAGGCTTCGGGTCTCTGTTGAGCCTGGCGGACAGTGGTGGGCTCGACCAGTTGCTGGTTACCATGAATGGTGACAGCGAGGCGGAGGATGCGAAGTCCGGTGAGGTTGGACTTGGCTGCGTCAGTTACTTCGACCACATCGTCATCGTCGCCAGGGATGTCGCGAGAGGAGTTGCGGTTGGGGTCTTCTTCCATGGGTGAGTGCATTTCTGCACTTGCATAATCGTGTTGTGCCTGTACTGCTTCGTGTTGATCGGGATCAGTTGGGAAGAATGATGTGGTGCCGATCTCCTTTGTAAGGGGTACGAAGGGTGCCTCTCCTGCGGTTGGTTCCTCTGGCTGCTTTCCTGCCATGTCAACCTCGACTTGATCACTTGCGTAGCTGTGCTCCCCCTAGAATATGTTGTCCGGTGCGTCTTGTGCAGTGTGATGCTGGCGGTACAGTGGCAGCATCAGCCTTTCGTAGAAGATGCAGTCACGTGAACGCGTGACTTGGTGGGTGGGGAAGTTGAGAATGGTCCAAGCGTGGTACTCCAGTTCGATGCCGAGGTGGATGCCCCAGCGTGCGTGATCCTCAGTTTTTCCGGTCCAGGCAGTGTGGGGACGGTACTGTACCATGCACCCAAAAACCCGGAGCATGCGCGCGTTCAAATTTTTGCCAGTCCACTCCTTGAAAGGTGAGGTGTTGTTGGGCAGGGCTTTCGATGAAAGCATGTTGTGCACTCGCACAGCATGAGCCCTAGCGTAGGGCCAATAGATGGTTGGCACAACTGACTGCTTCATGAGGGCTCGCATCTTTGTCGCGAGGCTCCTGTTGGTCCGTTCCGCCATTCCCTGCTGCTCGTGAGCATAGGGGAGAGAAATCCTCTTCCGCACAGAAGGTTCTGAAATCCTCTGTCATGTACTCCAGTGCTCCGTCTGTTTGGAAGGCTTTCAGCTTCTTGCCTTCGCTCTGTGTTTCAGCCATATTGAGCCACAGATAGAAGCACTAGTACGCGAGATGGCGGTTGGTGACGTTTGCAGCCCAGACGAAACGTGTGACGGCGTCGATGAAGGTGATCGTATACTGCTCCCTTTAATATTTTTGCTGTGACTCCCATGAAATCGCTGTAGACTTTATCGAGTGGCTTGTACCGCTCGGCTCCAAGAATCTTTATGGCGAAGGGAGTGTGACGTAGTGCGACTTCTGGGCAAACGGTGCAGTTAGGTAAGTCCTCTCTTGGCTTGAGCAGTTTTCCGTCGGGCAGCAACAGTACGTTTTTTCGCGAACACCTTGGCGTTGATGCAAATGTTGAGTACCTCCACTGAGGGATGCCCGAGTCGTTTGTGCCAGATGTCGGCGTCAGCGCGACATCCTCGTGTGCGAGCGTAGAGTTGCGTCTCTCGTGCCAATATTTCTTCAACGGTCTCCTTTCCTACTTCGTCAGCATGTTCTTCCAGAACGAGGACTTCAACTGCTGCCGCGTGAAGAGTCTCGAGTTTCGTTCCGTGATACGCTCCGCTGGAGTCACCGATGGTTGCGGTGTCGATTGTAACGGGAAGTTCCATCGGTCCTTCTAGAGGTGTCGGCGTGATTTTCCGGCGACGGTCTTCTGGCTGGATGATTTCGCCTTCCTTGAAGTCGGTGTCGCCAATCGCTGCTCCCCTTGTCTCGAGGCGGAGGTAGCTTCTTCCGTCCGTTGTGACCGGGATGAAGGGACGGCCGTACTCGGTCAACAAATTCTTCCTCTGGGGCCGTTAGATCCGTTGCAGGTCCGACACATTGACGACGA